GAGCTTTTATTCTATAAGTTGAAAACTCTGAAATCTTTTATTTCTTCGTTACACGGATTTGTCAAGGATACATCACATTAGTTCATTCTAAATCTAACTCAATTTTATAGAACACAATTTAAGTAATATTTGTAGGTATTATGAAATCATATTATCTCTTTAGTCAATCGGTAACTTTCAATTCTTAATACAAAGTGTGATTTTTTTTTTTCTGGAATAACACTGTTTCACTTTTTGGGTAGCACTGTTTCACTTTTTTATTATATAAGATAGCATTATAATTATCCCGATGACACATTCTATGACGCAATTTAGTTTCTGGAGATCCGAATTCAAATCATGTTTATATTTATGGTTGGATTTTGTATAATTAAATGGTTGGAATGCATTCTTTTTTTTGAATTATTAAAGGGTAGGAGATGGAAAATAAATTATTTGAGAAATGGAAAATGTACAAGTGTAATGTAATTTATTATGATGATAATTTATTGAATCTATAGTTATTAAAATTATAGTTTAAAAATAAATGAAAAAATAATAGGGAGAAAAATTATTGTTTAATAAAAAAACTCATTAGTTTGAAATGATTTAAGATTATTTATTTGAATTAAAGTTGACAAATATATATTTATATAATTAAAGTATAGTTAACAATTAATTTGTAAAATAAACCAATACTTTTTTTACCGACACGTCTATTAATAATTTTTACTAACAATTCTTAAAAACAAAAGTAAAAGTAAAATAATTTTTTACTTTTCTGAGTATTATAAAGTCAATTTATTTCAATGAATAATTTAACTTTTTTTAAAATATACATCTACTTTGTTGAACTTCATTATTATTCACTTGATTTTTTTCAATAAAAATTTACTAAATTATAAATTAACCAATATGTTTTTTAGCCACATATCTTTTAATGACTTTTACTAACTTTTCTTACAAACAAAATTACAACTAAAACCACTCTTATTTTCTTTTTTTACCTCATTTTATTTTAATAAAAAATAAATTTTGGTTTTATTGTTCACTATTTTCTAATTCTGTTAACTATGTGTTGTTATTGTTTTGATATTTTTTTAAGATGCAATGCCATTTACCTCAGTTTTAATTCAGCATTTAAAACTGAGCAAAGAAGGCCGAAATCAAGTTTCGCAAAAGTGCTCCAACACCAAAGCCCATAAGTTCGTCGGCTAACAAATAGTTCAATTAGATTAAAATTAATAATAGCATTTTATCTCATCTAAACAGAATATAGAATTTTTATATTTTATATGTATAACTTAAAGTTATCTTATTAAATTTAATAATAGCATATAACTTATATTTAATCTCATTTAAATAGAGCATAAATTTATCTCATTGAATTTAATGATAGCATAGAGCTTACATTCTTCATATTTTCTATTTCTATTAATTTCACCTTTTTTTTATTTGTTTTTGCACCGCTATATAATTGGGCTGAAGGCCCATACAAAAACAATAACCTACCGCTGTCCCGGCACGCTTATAAGTACTCTCCTCTCAGAGAAACTAGGGTTTCTGCTCTGCTGCTACAATGGTATCGTTTTTTCCGCCTATTATCTGTAGACCTGTTACGAATCTGATTCTGATGGTGTTTGGATTTTGTATGAGTGTAGGGGAAGGGAACAGGGAGTTTCGGTAAAAGGAGTAACAAGACCCACACCCTTTGTGTTAGATGCGGCCGTCGCAGCTTCCACCTCCAGAAGAGTCGGTGTGCTGCTTGTGCTTTCCCGGCAGCGCGCACTAGAAAATGTAACTCTTTTACTTTTTTCAAATTAGGGTTTGTTTAAGGATTCGGTTTTCACTGATCGATGGTTTCAGATAACTGGAGCGTGAAGGCTATTAGGAGAAAGACCACTGGAACTGNTTTTGTATTGATTTTAATATAATAATATTGATTTTGCATACTTTGGAATGCCTTAAAAAAAAGAACAAGATTTATTTATTTATAGGGTTTATCCTTATGTGTAATGATCACTCTAGCCAAAAACAATGACTTATCGTAAAATACATAATATGAATATTCCAAGCCACTATAGGTGCTGGTTCAATTGAATTTTCTTTACCTTTACTCTAACCACACATCAAAATACAAGATATATGTACGTATATATATAAACCATCTCCGGAAAGCTTCTGAAGCAGATTTGATCTCAGAGACATGAAACTTCTCAATGGGAATGGGAAGTATGCACCAGGAAAACTTCTCAAGAGTGTTGTTATCCTTCTTCCCTTCACCCTATTCATCCTCATGTTGCCGTTTCCTCTTAGGAAAAACTCTAGCTTTTTATCTCCTAATGACTCTAGCTTTTTACCTTCTAATAACTCTAGCTTTTCCTCTCCTAAAAACTCTAGCTTTTCCTCGCCTAATAAGGTGTATGTTAATAGAAGCAGCTATGATTTGAACGTGACAGAGATGAAACGATGCAACGTGTTTTCTGGGGAGTGGGTTCCGTACAGTAAAGGACCTTATTATGATAACGAGACCTGTAATTTGATACTGGATCAGCAAAACTGCATGAAGTTTGGGAGACCTGATAGAGAGTTTCTCAAATGGAGGTGGAAACCTGATGAATGTGAGCTTCCACTCTTCGATGCAACCCTTTTCTTAGAGATTGTCAGAGGAAAGTCCATGGCCTTTGTCGGAGACTCCGTCGGAAGAAATCAAATGAATTCTTTGTTGTGCCTCCTTAGTCCTGTAAGTAAGAACACTCATCAATCAATGCCACAGTGTAACTTTCTACTTGAAGAAGCTGAATTTTTCTATCCTTAAATTATACTTTTTTACTGTGTGACCATGCATGAAAGCTATTTCCTAACAAACAAGAAAAGTACTGGTTGCTTTTGGGAACAAAAACCGAAGAAAGAGGCTTTGTGTCTCCTTTGGGCAAAGTACTATTTTACTCTCTTTCACTTGTTGTATAACGCACGTATAGCAAATGTGTTGATGAGTTCCGTACATATTTTCATTACTCAAAAACATGCATATCTGAAAGAAAGTCCTCGTCCTGGTCGGAAAATATGATTTCATGACTTTCTTTCAGGTGGCTCGTCCTGAGGATATTTCCAGTAGATATGATACAAATCCCATTTATTTCAGAAGGTGGTTCTACGCAGATTACAATTTTACAGTTGTAACACTCTGGTCCCCGTTTTTGGTGAGAACCAACGATGTCCACAGCAGCCTCATCACGAATCTGTATCTAGATAGGGCAGACGAATCGTGGAGTGAAGTGAAAAACTTCGATTTTGTCTTTATCTCAGCTGGGCAGTGGTTCTTTCGGCCAGCATTGTTCTATGAAAAAGGACAGCTTGTAGGGTGCCACAAGTGTGAGCAAAGCAACATCACAGACCTGAGTCACTACTACGGATACAGAAAAGCGTTCCGAACAGCACTCAGAAGTATACTGAACCTTGAAGGGTTCAAGGGGGTGACATTTTTGAGAACATTCTCGCCTGCACACTTCGAGAATGCTGAGTGGAACAAAGGAGGGAGTTGTGAGAGGACAAAGCCTTATGGGAAGGAGGAAATGAAGTTTGATGGTTACATTTTTGAGACATACAAGGTTCAGGTGGAGGAGTTTAGAGCAGCGAANTTGTTAAGTAATAAAGTGAAAGCTATATATTTAAATTGTAAAATATTTGGAAGTGAGTATAATAGTTAACTGAGTTATCAACTCTCACGCTTCAAAAGAAGATGACGTATTTAGAGGGATAAATTAGACGAAGGGACGAATGCAAAATATTCCATGGATGGCTCAATTAGCAACGTCTCATATGTGTTCAAAGTACTCAATTATATCAATATTATTTTTTGGGTTAAATATGTTTTTAGTCCCTAAACTATTGGCCGTTTCTGGTTTTCGTCCCTCTTTCAAAGTAAGGTACGATTTGGTCCTCATTCTTTAGAAAAACGTTCGTTTTAGTCCTCAAATTTTTGTTTTTAGTCCTCGTTTTAGTCCTCAAAACGTTCGTTTTTTCGACTAAAACGAACCTTTTTTTAAAGATTGAGGACCAAATCGTACCTTACTTTGGAAGAGGGACGAAAACCAGAAACGGTCAATAGTTTAGGGACTAAAAACATATTTAACCCTTATTTTTTCTATTATAAATAATATATTTCAATATTATATTACGAAAACTCTAATAATAAAATGGACACTCTTACGATCAACCACTTAATTTTATCATTACTCAAACTTAACATCACTACTTAAACTGGAACAGCTCCAATCAAGTTTTAACACGTGGCTTAAACAGATAAGATATTTTTGTATTATGCTGAATAATAGATAATGATAGCTATCAATTCCATTTTAAAAAAGTACCCAACTTATCGTTACAGAATATTTAAATCTTCATTCCAGTCAGTAATCTTTTAGTAAAGTCGTTTTTTATGATACTTTATAAAGTAAATATTAAATTTATTATGAAAAAGTTTAGAATCGATTCTTTGAATATGTGAACTTATTCTTTTAAACAGTGTAAAGTAAATGAGACAAAATGTACAATGCGAATAGGAAATGTCAAATTATAAGAATAAAACAAAACTTGCAAGCAGGCTGACACATCTAGCCGACAATTACATATTGATTTATTAATAAGTTTATTACATCAAATTATTATTTTACTCACAATTTAGCAACTGCTCTAATATTTATTTCAGATATTACAATATTGTTAAAGTTAAATTGTGGTTAGTTGCAATATTTTTGATGTTTGAATGAAAAACATTTGTTGAGTGAAGTCAACTTTGCATGAAGACATTACTAGGTGTTTAAGATATATGTAGTTTTGATTATCGACTAATTTAACATGTAACTAAATATTATTAACTTTTAATAACTTTAAAATATTAATTTATTATATCAAAATTGGTCATAATCATATAGATACATTGAGATTATCTTAATACTTTTACTTAAATAAATTTCATAGAAATCATGATCCACTCTCAAGATATAAAAAAATTATAGATAATTTTATCTTTTAGGAACTAATTTGTATTAGAAACTAGAATAAACTTACTATTATCTACAGTGTTCTTAGTCCACATCTTAATGAATAAAAAACAATATAGTATTTAGTATTAAAATTTTAAGTGTGAATCTAAGTTTAATGTTGCATAGAAATAAAAGAGTAGAACATCATATAAAGTTAAAGATTGAAGAACTTATTGTCTTAAGGTTTTCTTGATAAAAAGTTGTATTAATCTTTTACATGATTGAATTCAGGTTTTATTAATATTTTATTTTCTTAATAAATCTTTTTTTAATAGATCCAATATTTTAAACATGAATGGTTTGTTCTAAACTAAAAACAAAATAACTATATTTTTCTTTAACTAAACTTCATAATAGCTATAGGTTTATCTGGACGTTGATAATCCAAGTGGAAGACTTTTTCTTCTTCTATGAATTCAAGGTTAATACATTTTAATGATGTGATAATTTATTATAAGAGAAAAAATAAGTATTTATTTAATAGTGTAACATCATCTTAGAAGTGTCAAAGATTGTCTTATATATATAGTCACTGACGTTTCCAAAATTATCTCCAAAATCTCACTTCGAGATGCTTCTAATATCATATGATATTATCTTATATGTTTCTAAAACATTTTCTTCGGATACATCAAATAATAAATATCATCTCATACAGTTTTTCAGGAGTGAAGGTTTGACACCTTTTGACAATTTTTATAGAGATAATATGGTCTTAATAATAATTAAATTTTATATTTAAAGAAAAGAAAGTAAAGAAAGAGTAAAAGATAGTGAAAATAGTATCAAAATGAATGTAGAATAATAAAAATTTAGCGTCGATCGACTTATCATTATCATTATTTTAATTTATTTATGTTTAATAGATGTGTTAAACAATGTATTAAGTTGATGTAAATAAGTTTGACATATAAAATATTCTATATGTCTCTTCTCTAAACTTTTCACTGATATCATTCCTTACCTCGTTTCTGTATGCTATTTATCTACTACTAGAAGTTACTTTTCCATGGTATTACATTTAATTTTTAATATTAAATAAAAAATATTCACTAAAATATTATTGATGTTTTATTCCTATACTTATTCATTATTACAATATTCTTATCCTAATTTTAATTTAACAGTGAAGATTCCTTCTCTTTTCTAATCCTTTTGGATAATTTTTAAATGGATCAATCTTCAGGTAGTGGTGGTGTAGCCCAAAATGGACTGGGTGTGTCTTTTGCCCACAAGAAAAAAATTATATAATCCAACTAATATCTATATCACTAATAAAAAAAATCTTATTATCCATTTACACTACACAATTATTTAATTGATTTAACCTGATCAATACCTAATCAAATAATTGAATTTTAATTAATTAATTTAATTTTTACCTACTTTATTTTTATTGAGCTTCATGTTCAGTATTTAAAGTTTCACAAAACATTATTTCATGTGCACAAATTATTAATTTATTTAAACTTCTAATGTTTCTTATAGGCGACATTCTATGAATCTTTTTGACGAATTACGTGAAAAAATATATAATTGTAACACTATTATTTAAACTCAACCAATGACAATAGCAAGCAATTAAATAGCAAAATAATTATACTTTGTAAATAAAAGAAATTTACACAACAAAACAAGGATTTTACAAACTACACTTTAATGAACTACAAGTCAAACATTTTAATAACAAAAGGCTATCAACTAATTTAAGCACGTAGGAATGTCTTTTCCATGTGCAACATTTTACTCGATGAAAACTATTTCATTGTTCATGCAAACTTTCTTTCTTTCTTAAAATGAATATTTTAATACTTCTCAATATTTTCACTGTCCATTTAATTGTTTTAAAGAAAACAACTCCATGCACATTCACCAGGGACAATTAA